TCTCCAAATTTCAGATGGCTTCTGTGAAGCCCAGAGTGAGTGCAGTGAGACTATGTCATCCTTTTACTGTTCCTTGACTCCTTGTAAGTGCTCATGAAATCCTTACGGAAGAGCCACAGCTCTCGAGTGCAGAGGAGACCACGGATGCAGGTGTGCACATGCGTTCCATCAATGCTGCATGTACACACATGCACACACCTGCGTGTGAACACACGTGCATCTTCCAGGCTACTGCCTATTTCCATTTTAAACTCTGGGTATCAAGGACAGAGTTTATTCATAAGGTTGCTACATAACAATGGAAGGTTTCTTATAACACAGATGCTGTTCTGAATCACACAGATTCATCCTTAGAAACTGGGCAATTAACAAACACATCTAATCAGTAATGCAGATGCCATTTTCTACAAATACTGCTAAACTGACCTTTACTTATTGGTTTATTTCTTATAAATTGGATCTGGCTTCTGGCCTGACATCATTGTTCTCCTAAAGAAAGTCTGAAATTATAGGTAGATATAGGCTTCAAATTTGTTTTTGCAGCTTTAGTTTTTTTATTTGTCCAAAACATGGGCTGGTTGTTCACTTGCCATTTGAAAAACAAAGCCTCTAGATTTGGGGCTGGAAACAAGATTAGAATGTCCATGGGTATTGTTCAGTCCTCCTGAGGAAGGAGGAAAGGTAGCCAACTGCACATTTAAACCCCAAGCATTAGAGACACACCGTGGGGGAATGCAAAGGAGGACTAGATGCTTAAAGGCCCTGCCTGGCAAGGTGGAGAGCTGGCGCAGACACTCAGTGACAGTCCAGGGTATGCAAAGCAGGCTCAATAAGCACAAACGCCCTCTGGAGAGCAGCATCTCCAATATAGGTCTTCAGAATTCCTAAGATTAATGTCAACAAAAAATGTGCTCACAACCCAAAATTACCAAACACGGATGGAAACAAGCACCTGTGAATTCGAGTCAGCAGGAACAATAAACAACACTGTCCCTTCCTGTCCTTTATTCAGAGCCCACACCTCCAACCAGGCTCCCTCCTGCCTCTTCCCATCCCATCCAGCCTCTATATATCACCACTGGCTTTCCAGGAATTTCCAACAACTTAATTCTTCCACAATTCCTTTCTATATATAAAATGAATTCCAAACTCCTTTGCATGGCACAAATGGCCCTTTGCAACAGAATTCCAGTGTCCCTTTCCAGACTCATCTCTTCCCACCCTATATCCTCCCCCAACCAAACACGCTTTATCCTATGCTGGACAACACAACATCCCTGAATATGCTATTTATTTTCTTGCTTTGATGCCTTTGCACATACCATTCCCTCTCCCTGGAATGCTTTTCCCCACATTCTCCAAATGGCAAACACCTAGTCCCTCTTCAATGGCAGCATAAATGGTACCTCCTCTGTAAAGCTCCTCAGACTTCCCCAGAGCTAGTCATGGCTTCCTTTGAATCCTCCTTATAATATCCCGGATGGTCACAGAGGGCGGAAACCTTGTGTTAGTAAATTCTTCAGCACTTGACTCACTCTGGTTACCCAGGACATATTTATTGAGGCAATAGAGTAAAGAATAAACACAGAGCTTTGTAATCAGACACACCTAAATTTAAATCTTGTCTCTGTCATTTTTCTAGCTTTATGACATAGGGAAGCTGCTTAACTTCAGAACCTGGGATTGTAAAATGAAAATAATAAATCCTACCTCCTAGAACAAAGCCCCTTACCCTTACCACTTCCATGGCAGACATCACTAATCAATCACTGCACTCTTCCCCCTGAGTCCAGACCAGCCCTGAACTCTTTAGCACAGTGCAGTGCTCAAGGCAGTTCCTGCCAATCGTGTGGAGAAGGTGCACAACACAAAACCTACCTCCAATTTTGTTCAAGGAGTAAACGAGACACCATAGATAAAGCACATAATATGGTATTTGACTTAAGCAGATCCTCAAAGAGTGGCACCTATAGCTATCTTATTTCCTCAAGTCTAAGATTGTTAGATTCACCACTGATTTAACATGTTTTGGGAGGTGGGGAGAAACAATACCATAGTAAATATGCACATCGTTTTAAGATACACTCTGATTTTGAAGATTAAGATGTAAAGAAGGTGAGTCTTAGAACTGAGAAAATCCAGTAAGACTGTTGAGTGAACAAACAAGAAGAGATGCTGGGGACTCCAAAAGGCTCCCTGCGTCACATCAGGA